TTTTTTTGTCCTTCTAAAGTAGACTCTGAATATGTCATCCACTCTTTTGGGTGCTTTCTCAGCCAGCAACTTACTTCTAAGCCTTTATCATAAAGCAGGGAGCAACAACTTCAGTGGTATTGTCATTAAGACGTCAAAGCAGAAGTGAAAATGAGATTAAGCCAATGGATGGAAAAATAAATGACCAAATAAGAACCAAACTCCCAAGCGGAACCACTGTTCCACTGCCGAATCTGGTCTAGAGAGAATAATCTCTGATCGATCTGGTCTAAAAACAGCACTGAATTACCAATACTGAAATGAGTCCAAGACTCAAAACTTAAATTATATTTTCCCAAAAATTCCCATTGACGTTTTGAAAACCATAAATGTTTTAGTGCGCTTAAAAGACACCAAAAAGTGCTTCCGTCTAGATTTGCAAAGGCCGCTGGACTTGTGGTCTTTCTCAAAACCAAACTCTGCATTCCTATTCCCAAGATGAAGTAACAAATAAGGATCCTTACAACAGCCTAAAGTTATGAATGAGTAGTTATTTGTGAACCGGCTCGTCAAGACAGATGTGGTATTTGTCAGCGTGGTGTGGGTCAGATAGGGAAAGCCAAATGAGCAGAGCCAAGGTCTAAGTCGCAAACATTTTTCTTTTTCTTGCAGGAGACTGGAAAGATGCTGCAGGATTTCCTGAAACAAACAACATCTCCCAAAAAAAGCCGTCGCATGCTGAAATAGACATTGTCAGCAAGCCAGTGTCTCTGCTTCAGGAAGAGCCCGCTTCCCCGGTCCCAGCATGCAGGCAGCAAGGAGGGCCTGACCGAGAGCGGTGCTCTTGCTGAGGAACGCGTGGAACGTGCCAGCAAGGGCAGACAGCTGCGGGGGGAGCTCGGAAATGCATCTGAACTATTTTCAGAAGGTTTGAGCTTCACAACCTCCAGAAAGCATTTTCCGTTTGCCTCCAATTGCTCAGTCCCCGCGGTTAAAGGGGTATCGAAGCCCCACGCTTCCAACTTGTCGGGTGATAACATATCCAAGGGCTCATGCGAGAGAACGAAGGGATCGTCCTGGTCCACAAATGATGGCTTTCTCGGCTGTTGAGAAATCCAGCAGAGGCTACATCCGGTAAACGTAACTCCTCCTGGACGGCAATGTTTTTCTCACACCAATGAAATGGCTTCACTCGGCTGCCCCAGGAAAGCAGGAGGCTCCCTCGCACGGAGAACATCTTGCACTGGGAACAGCCGCCCAGGGCCTGGTGAGGCCTCTCCTCTCGGCTATCACCTCCCAAGTTTTCATTTCCTCCTCAGACCCTTTGTGGTGACCCTGGGCCACCTTCTCTCCTTCCTGCCATCCATCTTCCTCGTGGAGACTTCTACTCCCTGATGTCATTTGTCGCTAAGGCCTTTTTAAAAATGAATCACCTGACAGCTAAGAAACTGTTGCGGCCAGTGCTTGGTTATGGAGGTGAAATGAGGTCCACCACAGCTTAACTTTGGCTGCCTGACCTGGCTCAGCCTTGAGTGCAAATGGCCTGGATTCCATCTCAGCAGACTCTCACTTGGCGGGAGCGGGGGCGGGGCAGGGGCAGGAAACCTGTGAAGAAGGACTGAACCAGGCCCAGAAGCACCTTACACAGAAGCACCCTCTTAGTATCAGCTTCTTAGGAAACACATCCGCTCCCTGCGTCACTGCATTTCAAACTTTCTGGCCGAGAAAGATAAAGGGGTGAATGCTATGTGAGCCATATGCATAGTCAGAGAGATCGGTTAAAATACTTGAGACATGTTTTCCCTAAACACGTATATACCCCTTGAAACGGTTGGTAACATCTTGAGATGTCAAAAAAAAAAAAAAAAAAAAAAAAAAAAAAAAATCAAAACTGGAAATTAACGTGCTGAACTTGCGCCACAAGATGCCCTTGAGATTCAATGCAAAGCAAGCCTAGTAGGTGCCAGAAACAGCTACACTTTTTTACCCACGTCTTCATCAGTCCTTTCTGACGCTAGGGAATGGGTGTTATTGTCTTCATCTTTACTTTTTTTTTAAGTTTATTTATTTATTTTGAGAGAGAGAGAGAAGAGGGAGAGGGGCAGAGGAGAGAGAGAGAGAGAGAGAGAGAGAGAGAGAGAGAGAATCCCAAGCAGGTTCCGTGCTGTCAGCACAGAGCTGAATGCGGGGCTCGAACCCACAAACTGCAAGATCATGACCTGAGCCAACGGTCGGACGTTTAACTGCCTGAGTCACCCCGGTGTCTCTTTCTTTATCTTTAGAAGAGAAGAAACTGAGGTCAGGTTAAATAAGGGGCCACAAAGCCACGAATGGCACAGTCAAGATCGGAATTCAGCAGGAAGCAAGTTAAACGTCCCTCAGGCAGTTTGGACAACAGGCGAGGAACCAGCGAAGCTGCTAACTAGCTAACTAAAACAAGACCACCACGTTCTAACAACTGCCATTGGCCTTGTGTTTGATGTTATCCCCGTGCTCATTACCACACCAACCTGCCTTCCCCAAAACACTAATTCTCTGAAAGAGACAGGATGAATCCTCCTTCCATCAAACCTATCAAAACGTTGGTGAAGAAACGGCTGCAGCTCCAGGCCAAAACCAGGGACTTGATAAATCAGCATTTTTGCATCAACCAAATATAAAGATAAAAGTTGAATGTGTTAAAGGCAGGGAAGAGGACCATGGGAAAAGGACCATGGCCTCAGTGGTATAATGCCTTCTGTAGGGAAAGAATTCAGAGCTTAACAACATAATTCATGGTAGGAGAGGAGAGATACCACTCTTCCGCGGATGTGCTACATCGTTTTGCAAGAGGGCCAGGAAAGTCAGGCTCTCCATTTCCTGGTCTCTTATTTTAGGGTCTCGATTATCTGTGGTAACTAAGAGCCTTACTTTAATAAGTCACATCCCTGATAGAAATAGTTACGTCCAGGTCCTCATATGTCCCAGGGAAAATACTAGTACGGACTTTATAGGGTTACTGGTGAGGATCCAATGAGGACTTGCATGTAAAGTATTTAAGACTGTGCTCGACACATCGTCAGCGCCCAGCGAAGGTTGGATGCCATCATTATCATTCTCACCATGATGCTCTTTATTATCTGTAAAACCGGAAACAGGAAATGCATGGGTAGGAGAAGCCCAGTGCTGCCGTTCCCACAGCGATAGGATCCATGGGGCACATTCTCCCTGATAACGAAGGGGAGTCGATTTCATCTCTACATCACCTGGTCCTGATGCTTGGGAACCATAAATCCTTCGTCTGGTAGGTCGATCTTATTCTCTAAAGGGAAATGCTCATTCGTTTATGAGGCAGGTATTGAGCAAATACGATGCACTAGTTTCTGTGAGAGTCAGCTCCCGTTCTGAGGCAATTTACAAACCGGTGAAGAAGCCAGCTGCAATGTGGCTAGATTTTCCCGACGGCAAAAGAGAAGAGGCCGCTTGCTGTAGAGATGAGTTATCCGTCTTGTGAGGCTGCACAGGATGAACTAATTCACAAATCAAAGGCTTTGACATCTGCCTAAAGCTCAAAGGCTGTTGAAAGGTGTTAAAAGATGAATCTCCAAGCAGAAGACACAGCACAGACAAAGGCCCGGAGGCACAAAAATAAATGGCCCATTTGGGTAAAGGCAAACAGGCCGCTGTGGCCAGAGTGTAGTTTTCATGCAGGGATTTAGCAAGACGTGGGGCTGAGCAAGGAGGGGCCAGACCCTGAGAGGTCTTGGATTTTATCTAAGAAACCTGAAATCTTACCTAAGAAGCCTAAATTCTCAAGGGCTTCCTATACGAAGACAGACAGCACTAGACCCAGTGAATTACCAGCCCTTCCCGCCTTTGTTCCCCAGTCTCTTACGCAACAAAGGTCACCTAAAGCCCGATCCACGTTAAGCAAGGGAAATGGATCCATTGAGTGGAAGTAATACAAAGACAAGAATGAAGTGAAGGTACCAGTGATATTCCAGGCTGGCGGGAGTAGTTCCCGGAACCCTGCTTTTAATCCCACTTTAATATCTCTAAAATCCCTCTTTTTAATGTGTCTTACAATTAGCGGCATGGTAGAATTAATGGTCAGTGATATTGCTTTCTTGGTGCCACACAAAATAATGGCGCTTCTGAAAATCAATGATGTTTGAGATTCAATGAACCAATAGCTGCAAAGAAGACCTACTACGTGCTGCACGCAGAGCTAGGCGCTTCTTTCCGCAGGCCTTCCTCCACCCGACAACCCTAGGACACAGGCATATTCTCCATCTTTAGAAGGGAAGAAAGCGAGGCCTGGTAAAGTGAAGGTAACGGCCATGCACGCAGATATTCCAGAATAGCTGAAGAAGAAGGTAATGCAGAGACTGTGGGGAAGAGGTCAAAGGGCAGTTTTATGCAGAGCCAAGGCCACCAAGCCGGCCCCAGGGCGCAAGGTGGTCACAGGGCAGTGCAGTTCAACACCCACTTCCGGATTTCCGACGTTAGGAAAGAAACAAATGACTACCCACCCCGCGGTGGTTGCAGCAGGATGCGAATTTCTCCTAAACAAGTGAAGAGGCCGGCTTTGAGTCTAGGCAAACCCATCCAAGAATCTTTAGCGAGCCATTTAATTTAAAATACCTGGAGAAGGCTGAATTCCTAGGTTTAAAACGATCTTTGTTTAAAGAATATTAAACAACAAAAGCGCACCATATGGTTTCAAAATGACAATGGAAACATTTGTTTATCTGGGCCAAAAGCACATTTCATCAAGCTGTTCCGAATCTGCAAAGTGGAATACACCCTGCAGGAGAAAGGCTGCCTGCGTAGAGCGAGCACATCTGGCAAATCCAGATCCTCTCTCCAGGATCCGTCAGGACCGGAAATGCTACATCAAGACAGCTGAAAGGGCTGTTTTCAGAACTCCTTCTCGCAGCCTCTCTGCCCTGAGGCTGCTCACCTTACAGCAGAAAGCGGGGAGGGGGGTGGGAGAGGCGGCAGGGGGCGGGGGGCAGGGTCGGACCGAGAGCCACCCGGTGGTCGCCAGCACGCCCGCCCAGGGCCCCGGCTCCTCCACTCCGTCTCCCTAACCTTCTAAAAATGCAGCCCGAAGTGTGTTGTAATCTCTGGGCGAAGGCCTAACAGTCAGTGACCTCCTCGGTGCTAACCCAGATTTGATGTGGGATCAGCAGTGAGTCATTAGCCTTTTTTTTTTTTTTTTCGCGTCTCAGTTTCCTCTAGGAAAAATGATCTGTCATTCTTTCATATCTTTATATGAAAGATGCTCGGACTAGGTTACATCAGCGTCTTCTCGCCAGGGAAAAGTCAGAATTTAGAAAGTGCAGCTCCGTGAGTAGACCCCAGGGGTCGCTGTGGAGACACAGAGGGCTCCAGGTCCCTCTGCCAGGTCAAGAGGTCCCCACCTGCCCCTCTAGCTTCGCAAAGCCCAGCCTCCACGGGATGGGGACGCCTCAGGAGAAGCTTGCAGCGAGCTTGGTCTCACCTGGCAACAAAAGCGGCCCAACTCCTTCGGTTATAAACAGCATCTTTCTCCCAGTCTTTGAAAAGCAAAAGGAGGAAAGGAGAGGAAATCCTGAAAGAATGTGACCTAAGTTCAATGGAACCACAGTCAGGCACTAGAGTTAGGACAAGCAATGATACAATTAAAAATGCAGAAATTAAAGTCTGGTCCATTGTGTGTTAATAACTCAATCATGGTAGAAGTCAAGGGGTCAAATCCGCTTGTCTTTGATCTTGCTCTCTTTCTTTCTCATACCTCTGGACACACAGAATCTTAAAAAATAAAACCCCTGAATATAAAGCAAAAATACTACTCTGTTCCAGCAATTGCTAACATTTGCCTTCATTGGGCAGCTGGCCAAGAGTCCAGCAATCTGTATACAGAAAGACATGTCCATGAATAGAATCTTAAGTCGAAGTCACCAAAACCATAGTGCTATTGGTATTCATTCTACATTCCATGATTTCACTTGGAAAATTACAGGGGAAATAGAAAAGGAGGTTGTTTGCTATTGAATGCTTAACTCTCATGTGCCACAATTACAAAGGAAACCTCATGGTGATGTCTCGGGCTGTAGCTTTCAGTTTATCTAGCTCAATAGGATAGAATGAACCAACACAATTATTTACTTTCTTCCGGTGCCTAGGGTGGAGGGTCTACTCTTCATTAACACGAACTGCTGATTTTCCTTGCAAGGAAAATCCAAGACTGCTCCTCACTTCTTCTTGCTCTGTTCTAACATCACATTGCTGCTGCCCGAAGTCACTGATGGGTGGGGCAACATCATTATTTAGGCTAAATGAATGGGGAGTTTTGATGTCTTCAATTTAGGTGCTCGAAGAGCATAATAAGAATGTACATATCACACCAAACTGGTCCAGTACATACTCGCACTTAATTAAGATAACTTTCCAATTATCTTTCTATTCAATGCTCTCAGGTTAATGTCCTTTTGGACACTCAGTTATTTTATGGTTAGGATATTACTTTTAAAATGGCACTCCTAGCAGAACTGAATAAGCCAAAATCAATACCAGGCTTACTAGGGCTTCTCAACATGCACATTGTTGACATTTGGGGCTGGACGAGTGTCTGATGTACGTGGTGGTGGGAGTGGAGGGGGGGAATCTGTCCTGTACATTTTAGGGGGGTCAGCAACAGAACCCGGCCTCTACCCAGTCAATGCCAGTAGCACCCCTTCCCTACCAAGTCATGACAACGGAAACTGTTTCCAGACATTGCCACAGGTTCCCGGGAAGGGAGGGGGAGGGCGGAATCACCACCTGTTAGGATCCCAACACTGCCCGATCTGTGATGATGAAAAAAGTAAGAGGAAAGATAGAAAGTGAAACTTTCTCTTTCTTCCCTTGATTGTCCAAGCCTCTACCGATTCCAATTGTCAATCATTTGGATTCTTACCCTAGTTGACAGAATCACTCTCAAAATTTCTAAAGCTGTGAGCAGTGTCTTTCAAATCAATGTGCCTTGAACATCAAGTGCATTGTCAAAAGGACTAGACGGCTACTAATTCCCACTGGGTAAACTATCGGTAAACCTTAGCATAACTCCACTTTGAGCCTTAAACCAACAGCATGTGAAAAGATCAATATGAATAAATTCAAACTTAATCAGACCCCTTCTTTAAATGTTGACACAGTATTATTTATATCCCATAAATACCTTCTTGACTAAAATTCATCCTAGGAGATTGGCACCTGGCCAGTTCTATTCATATTTACTATATTTATACAGTATGCTGGGCCAAGGATAATATTTAAAACAAAATATGCCTGAGGGCATATACAATATCTCTTATATTTTTACTCTTAAATCTCCACATTGCTAAAAATATTTAGTCTGAACTGTATAAAATGTCCCACAAAGGGCTATCAGCAATCTGTAATGATATATAGCTCATTGAGTATAATTAGAGCATATTTGTAATATTTGAGCTGAAGTCACTCCCTGAACACTAATAAGTTGGTGGTAAAAAGTGAACCAGTGATCTTTCCCATGCCTTCATCTCTGGGGCTTATGACCCTTGCCGGATTCACTGCAAGAAATGACAGGCACATTCCTCCCCACGGTTACTTCAGTGACGCCCGAGTTAAAAGCTGGGTGGAAAGTCCTAAAGAGGGAAAGCTGGTATATAAGCCAATGCTGTACTTTCAATTTGCTCTTTAAAAATATGGTGGAGTGATTTCTTCTTTTCTCCCTTTTTTTTTTTTGGAAGGCTTCACTATATTCCAGTATAACTAGAAAGTGCTGGAAAATCAGTTAACCTACTTTCTATAAAATTATCCACAGCCCTTGCACAGTAGTATCGAATCTGCTCTTAATATGGTTTTCTGCTCCTAAACTTCCATAGAAGGCTGCATTCTTTGTATGAAAACTGATAGGATCTGCATATATTTTTTATACCGGACTTATCAGAGCTTTTAATCTATTTGGTGGCCGGAGGTAGGATAGAGAAGAGAATCCACAGGCTGATCTTCAGTGACATCCTCTGAAATCCCAACAATCTGAGGATTTTTCCAATTTGCTGATGATCATTATTCTGGGCTGGATCATCTCAGCAATTTGGACCGAGATGCACCAGAAAGGGCAAGGAATCAACACCCTCTTAGGTAACTTGCTCTCTCCACACCTGTCTTAATGAGGAGCAGAGATCAGACCTCCTGTCTGTTATAAAAGTGCTGGCAATTCATCTGAACTTTCGCAGGTAAATACGGTGCAGATTCTATATAACCTCCCTACCTACCAGCCCAAATACCCGTAGAACGGATACACGTGCTTGAGAAAGCACACGCACTCACTCGACTTTCTGTTTGGTCTCAAGCACTGTGGGCCAATTACAGTCAACTTTCTTTCCTAATATCTCCTTGGCTCCACCCCAGGTAGAAAGCTTTACTTCCCGAGGGGAGTAAGCGGGGTGTCTGCATTTATCACCGCGGTTGAGGAAGGCCCTCATGACGGTACTAAAACCATCCCGCTGGCCAGGATCCCCCGCATCTGCTCTGCTCTTGAACAAGAAGTCGAGAAGGTGCAGCCAAAGAAAGGTGGCCAGGAAGACTGGGGTTAGATACACGGGCTGACGTTCTGAGACCCGCAAGTACAAGCCATGGGAAAAGTCGCAGGACTGGGACTTGTCAGACTAAAAAGAAATATTAAGAAGGAGAAGTACCACCCTGCAATTAGAGCCTCTAGGACAAAAGTACTAAGATGGCCATATTATCTATTTAGGCAAGACACAGAGACTTTGTGAAGGCGGCCAGCAAGTATATAGGGCATGGAAAGGGGAGGAGAGAAATGGGCAACCAATGAAAAGTTTATGACTGGGGATTTGGAATAGCAAATGTAGAAGCTTTTTTTCTTCTTCTTCTTCCTGGTATTTAACCCTCTCAGGTATCACTGGAGGATGATGCTTTTTTTTTTTTTCTTTCTTTCTTTCTTTTTTTTTTCTTTAAGAACTTGGATACCATTCTCAGCTAACTGTCCTCTCCCCCCCCCCCCAGGAACTGCACGATAAATCACTTTACCTGTCCCTCTGCTACTATATGCCAGCTGCCCTCCGAGAAGCCAGTTTAAAAAAAGAAAAAATCGGCTGTCTTCTACCCTACGTGAGATTTAGGAATGCACCAAAGTGACTGCAAGGAAGCCTGTGCAAGGGCCGGGAGCCGAGGCTCTAGGAGTAGGAAAGATAAACGGTAAACCCCGTGAGGAAACCGATCTGCTCCAGCAGCGATCTTAAGACAGGTCTGAGTGGATTCTGGAAAATAACGCCAAGTAAAACGCTTTTAAGCCCCGTCAGAAGCGACGTTGTCCCTTCTACCACTCCAGGTGAACTCAAAAGGGGACGTGGTGACGAGGGCTCGCTCTGCGGGGAGTGTAAACACCCAGCTGTGGCAACAGATGCGAGAGTCGAGGGTGTCGAGTTAGTGTTCGAGGGGTCTCCAAACCGGGTTTTGTGTCAACGATGCTGACATTTTTCGGGGCGTTAGAGACAATAGGGAAGGCTTGGGGAACCCGCTGATAGGTCGGCCCGGAAAGGGGCGCCTTCCGGAGAGGCTAGCTCTGAGCCACTTTTTTTTTTTTAACCCTTGGTG